ATCCTGGGCCGCAGCCCCACCCCCAGGAGACCATGCATGAGGCAGCAGGGGAGTAGGGAGCAGAAAGGGCATTTTGTGTCCTAGAGCTGGGCTGATAAATGGAAGCTTCAAAAAGATCCAGGATCTTTCCACAACGCAGAGAAGAAATGGGAGACAGGAGAGGTGGAGAGGATGGAGAACTGTTACCCAGAGGAGACGGGGGCCTATCACACCTTTAATAAGAACCGACTTAGCCGACCCCTCTTAGCACACTGAGGCGGCGCCTCCAGCACCTCATTCCTTCAGTTCAATGTGACTTGACATTTCATATACAGACTTTCTGTCTATAGTACACGCAGTGCAAACAGAGTCCCACGGCAGTTCCAGGAGGGAGCGTTATCATTAGCAGACGTTGCCAGCATCCGCACACTGAGGACAAGGAGGTCATGCTCTCTATTTTCATGGACGACGTCAAACCTGTTCTTATGAGAAGGATTCCTCAAAAACACAGGCTGTCTTGGTCCTGAACAGGATCAAAACCCACCAATGACTCAGAGGACATTGCCCATCGCTTGCTCTAGTCACCAAGGACTCACCTCCTGAGAATTTCATCACACAAAGTGCACTTGTCGCTAGGATGTCTTTGCTGTAATTACAGTTACACACAGTAATTCACACCTTTACTCCCACTTCCCAGAAGCTCATAGACCACCCGCATTTACTCTCTCCTGGGGCCGGGCACTTCCAAACCTGCCTCCGGACGCAGGGCTGCCTCCACAGGGTACACCCCGTGCGGTCTGGGCCTCCCACTCAGAAGGCCTCGCTGGGTTTCATTCCCTGCTGTTACCAAGTTGAAATGCCTAGTCCTTTTTTAGCCAGGGGTTCCACATTTCCATTTTGCACTGAGCCCCACAAATTCCCTAGCTGGTCCTGTCTAGAGGACTAACTGCTTCAAGGTGAGTTTCTATCAAGGCCTGTCCCAACTGCAGTGGGAGCCATTACTGAATGGTTCTGGGCAGCTTTCGGTTACAAGGATCATTTTCACATCCATGCACTCGGCAGGGTGACTGTCACAAACCTGAAAATTCAAGCAGTCCAAAAGCACTTCGACATCTGATTAAAAAGGACTGGTTCAACCAAAAGTTAAGCTTTGGCCTGGGCCACACGGTACCGTCCTGACAAGTACACAGGCAGGCTCCTGCCCCGTCAAGCCTATAAACAGTACCACCCCCAAACACTGGCTCACGAAGTTTCTCATCTTATAAACTTCACGTTAGTCAGCATTCAATAATTTCCGTAGCATTGTTTGATTAAGAGTCTGTGGACTGCAGCAGATGTAATAAAAGTCAAGCCCTGTAATTTCAATTATTAAACACTTGTACCAGAGCCTGTACCCAAAAAAGCTCAGTGGCTCTACCCAAACTGCTGACGTAGAGCTGGGGCGCCCAGAAAGGGCTGTGACAGGTTTGAAAGGGCCCTTCCTCAAGGTGGGTGACAAAAGGGCTCTGCAAACTGCATTTACCTGGGGACATCCCATCACACACTTCATTTTCTACCTGTTCACAGTAGATTCTGTCACAGGGTCGAAAAGAATCATCGGCTACCCGCTCTCTGGAGGTCTGAGATCAAGTGTCTCTCACCACATACCCGCCAGCTGGCATGAACATATTCTCTCCCCCAGAACTGAAGACAATCCAGACACTCAGTTGTACATGTGCAGGTGTGCACGTGTACGTATGTGCTGTGTGCAGGGAGGGAAGGAAGCTGGGGAGTGGTGACGCCACATCCTTACTCATGACGACGAAGAACACACGCCTTTTTATTTCCCTCTTGGCCTTTCTGAAGTCATTTCTAGAGTCTGGATTTCAAACGTGTTCTTTATTTCATTGCTCAGATCCAGGGAATATTAATTTATGGACTCACGCAAACTCACATTAATTTCAAACCGACAGCATAATCCAGCCACACTGTACTGTGTACAACAGAAATCCTGGACAGAATGGGCCAGGGCTGGGCAGGGGATGCACGGGCACGGGCAGCATTGTCTCATTCAGCATCCACAATAGCACAAACTCCTGAGAGTCAGCGCTCCTATGTCTGAGTGAAGCCCACCTCACAGTCCTTCAACCTGCATTCACAACACTCAAAACAATAAATACGTATCACATGGCTTCTGCAATAACGAACCACTTTCTAGCCTCCCTTGGCACCGGGCAGCCTTCATTCTGCAGGTATCTTCTGATCCCTGCCTTTACCTTGCTCATACAATCAGGAAAACAAATAACATAAATCGAATTCCTCATCTGGAAACTTACCTCTCCACATTCAGAAATTCTGAATTTTTGTTTCTAATTCATTGGTGGGAAATATTGGTCTATGCAAGGTCACCCTAGAAATCTTGAAGATGCTTCTATTGCCCACTCCCCACGTCTACACAGGACCGATGGCCCACTTTCTTCAGCAAAATTGGGTGAATTGCCTGGCACTCTCCAAAGAGGTTGCACATTCTTCCCCTTTCCCTTCTGAGGACTTTCACAATTTGATAGTTACATATTTCATTCACTTACACAATAAATATTTATCGAGCACTCTGACAGATGCTGAAGGGTACAGGATTTGCCCCCTCCCTGCCTGCCAGGTACCCAAGGGTCAGTCTGAACGAGGCTTTTGAGTGTCTCTGAGCTCCCTGAGGCTCAAGCGCCCGGCCTGCGCCGCTGTCTTGTTCCAAACGCGTATTTGTTGACTACATGCAAGAGGCAGACTTCGTTTCATAAACAGAGCTTTCTAATGAACAAAGGCATTCCAAAGGCAAAGGGGTAAGTCAGGCGTGCTATCAGTTGAGCAGAGTTTGGAAATAAAAATCACTCTGATGACCTGCTCTGAGAAATATTTCCTCCTCCTGGTGGACACGTTGCCAAGATGGGAATTGTGAAAGGACCTCTTTCACATTTTTCTGCCTCAGAACGTCACAGGCTCTGTTGCAATTTGTTGAGGCCCAGTCTGCTTGCACCCAGGGCGTGACAGAAGCTTATTAATGCCAAAAAATACTTCTCTCCTTCTTAAACCTGTGGAAGCTGAAGGTCACTGATACGCTATCTCGGCTTAGTGGGAACTACACCTATCTCGCTTTCCTAGAAGGCAGCAGGTACAAATCTCCAGGAGCAACAATCCACCTTTTCAAACCACAAAGCCCAGGAGTGGCAGCGTGGAGAGAATGCAGCTGCTCCCAAACAAGAGAATCCCAGGTGAAAACCCGATTTGAACACAGCAAGGGAGAATTGTTGGTGTTGAGCTTAAAATTTCATCTGAGCAGAGGCCACAAATACTCAGCAGGCTGCAGGGGCTCCATGCAGCATCTAATATGTTTTTAAATACATGGTCCCAAAACATTGTAATTCCACTGTAATGCAATCAAAGTCCTTCAATATACTGAGAAAGGAATGAATTCAACTGCTTAAAAATCCTTCACTCAGAAACTAAGCATGAATTTTACTGATTAAGAGCTGAATGCCATAGGAAATTCCTTTTTAAATGGTTATTTTATTCAGAGTCGTTGCTTCTTAATGATGCTGTCTTCATTTCCTCATAAACCTGTTTCATCTATATTCATCCAATATTAATATTTATTTTGTTCATTTAATTTTAAAGTATTCTTAAATTAAAGCTATTACAAATATTCTGCTGCCGAAGATAATTCAGCATAGGCACTACTACGAAAATATCATAGAAACATGAACAATATGTTACAGCTGTAATAGGGCTTAATAAACACAGTACTATAAACTATCTTAGTAAATTAAAAATAAGCCATTCTAGAATATGTTATAAAACCCACTGCCAAATACATTTTTTTTTAAACCTCTGTGCTTGTTTATCTTGGAATTCTTAACAGTATAGATTTCACATAATAATGAAAATTGTACTTAAGAATTATCTTGTGTTAAACTATTTCCCAGGTACATATTTTTTCATCACTTTTCTTAAAATAAAATATTCAGCATTTAATCTGTACAGTTGGGCCTGCAGAGATCTCACAATACATTATAACACTCATTATACTGAACTTGTATCCCATTTAACTTAATATGTAACTATACTGTCTCGTGGTCCTTTTTAGGTTTCACAGCTTCTTGTTGTAATATGACATTGTGCAAAATGCTCCCATACAAATGGGCTCAGAACAGCAGCAACGCCATTACCACTGCAGGAAAACTGCAATGGGTTCCTCCCTGGAAAATACCAAATCTCAAAGTCCAACACACTAGCTCATAATTCATTCTTGTATCTAAAAGAAGCTTTTGGCTGAAACCTTATACTGTCTGCACATTACAGCTTCTTTGCACTTTTATTTTTTAGGAAATATGATAAAGAAAAGTAGCATGCCCCATGGACATCCCAAATAAACCATTATAAACTCATTCTCTTTTGCACTAATTTGGATAGGAATGGAAAAGCCTGGGCGTGCCCTTACAATGCTCAGGTGAAACTTTTCATAAGCCTCCACCTACTGCGTCAGAAGCAGAAAGACACTCCAAACACATATACTTCTTACTTTTCTAACCCAAAAAGTTGCTACCATTGCCAACAATACGTTCACACCAATGTTTGAGGTTTGTGTTCTAATCATCAGAAGTATGTTTTAACTACATACTTTTTTTTAAAATCCTTTTGCTGAACTAAGCCCAGGACTGAAACATTGCTCTCTGCTCCAGGGTTCTCCAGTCTTAACTCAGTGATCAACACTGCATGCCTTTAGACTCTCAAGGGGCTGCTTCTTCCTTTGTGCTCCCAGCTCGGTTCTGAATGTGAAGATTTGTTCCCATTCCTGGGCACCTGACAAGCTGTGATTTACATGTGAGACAACTCCCAGGTTCTTATCAAGGAGTTTGAAGCAGCTCCCTCCCATCCTCCCTGTTCTCTAGGAAACAGACTGGCAAAAGGGGTGTGGGGAGTGGAAGCAGATTCTCTCTGAAGCTACACAGATCAACACAGGTAAATCCACAGTAATGGAGGCAAGTATAAAAAGGAGTATTATTTATTATCTTCTTTATTAATACTCACATATAACCTTTGTTTTTACAGAAAAGTCTACTTTAAAAGAATGCCTCCTTGGTTTATCGTGCCCAGTGGGCTTTCTGCTCCTGGACCACTTCCCCTTTCTTTATCCCACCCCCCCACATCCAAATTACTCTATTACATGTTCACGGATACCACAAAAACTTTGTAAACAAGATTTGGGTTACTGGATCTTGATTTAATCAGTATCCCACTTCAAAATGAAGGGCAGGTAGGAGAGGGTAAGACACGGAGAAAGGGAGAAAAGGCAGGGGAGAGGGGAGAGGGCAGCTGGTCAGAACTTTCAAGTCTCGCCTTTTCTGAGATGTGTGTGTACTGTGACCATTCCTTGAAATTCAATGACTCAACATTGACAGCAAGTGTCTGTGTGGTTATTTGTATTATATATCTACAATAGAATATGCGGGCTTCCTCGGTGTGTGTCTGGGCTGTTTGCTGAACACACCACAGTCCTCCTGTGGGTGTCTCCCATCTCCAGTCCGGTCTCCCAGGAAGTGCCTCAGAGCCGGGGCTTGCGGAGCAGAGTCTTGCTCAGGTCTTTGACCTCCTCGGGGCTATTCACCCTCTCGTAGCCCAGCACAGCCATCGGCTGATAGCAGAACTCCTCCACCTGCTTGATCTGCTGAAAGGTGAGGGCAGTCCGCCAGGCATTGGCGGCCTGTGTGGCGTTGCGCGCAGACACCACGAAAGGCTTGGAGGAGGAGCCGGAACCACTGGTCATGTTCAAGGCAAACTGCTCCATTTCCGGGCTCACCAGCAACCCCACAAAGTCGTAGACCCTCCGCAGGGTCTTGACCGGGTCTCCCACCAGATCCTCGTACCGCACCACCAGGTAATGACCTTGCAGCCAGTCAGGGGGCTGCAGGGCCGTCTGCAGTGTCTTGGCCATGCTGTTGCAGATGACCTCCATAGCGCCCAGGGCATGGTAGTCGGCTGGCCCACCCACACCCTCCTTCTTGGCAGCCAGCTTGTGGCCAGCGGCCTCCAGGAATGGCATGCGATGGGCTCGCGGGTCCCGGCTCCGTACCACCTGCAGGCTCTCACGGATGAGACCGTGGCGAGAGCGGATACGTGAGCTGGCCACAGCACGGGGATCACGCACCAAGTGAATGACCTTGAGGTCCAGGGCCGGGTCGCGAAGCAGCGGCGCCAGCACGGCCACATCGAAGACACGCACACCCTTGATGACCAGCGTGTGGTACTTGCGGCACTCCTCCTCGAAGCGCGCCAGGCGCTGCGGTGGACACTTCTTGCACACACGATCGTCCACCAGCCCCACCACCTCCTTGCGGTAGGCAGGGCAGAGCGGTGACGAGCACACGACCTTGTTGGTGGCCGCGCCGAAAATGCCCAGCGTGGTGAGGTTGCGCCCCCCGCTGCCAGCAGGGCCATAGAGCTGGAAGACTGACAGGTCGCAGCGATAGAGAGCGCTCAGCATGTCCCGCGCCGCCCCTTGCAGAGACACGGCGTCCCCTGGGTACAGTTTTTGCCACACATGCCACACTGGCTCGTAGAGGAAGAATACCTCGGGGTTCTGGTTAAAAAGCTCCCCGAAAAAAGACGAGCCCGAGCGCCACGTGGTGAACACGTACACCAACTGCCGCTTGTCCTCGCCGCCCCTGGTGCCGCGAGTGCTGTTGCTGGCAGGGGCTGCGGCCCCCGCCGCGGCTGCCGGAGCCGCCCCTACCACAGCGGCCGCAGGGGGGCGGTACGGGGTGCGGGGATCCAAGCGGGTGTGTGCGCGGCGCGACACAGCTGGAGGCGGCCCCGGGCGCCCCCAGCTGTCCCCAGCCACCCCCGCCGCGGCACCTAGCGGCCCATCAGGGCTGCACTGCTGTAGCGGCTCCTTGTGCCACTTGTAGTCCAGGAGGTTGAGCATGGTGAGCACAAGCAGCAGCGCATAGCCCGCGCACAGCACTAGCGCCTTCCTACGGAACACCTTCATTCCGAGCGGCGACGCGGGCCAGCGGCGGCCCGGGCGCCGGGGCCACGGCGGGAGCAGGGCGCGCGCCGCGGCGGCAGGCGCGGCCGGGAGCAACCTGGGGGGCGCGCCCGGGGACAGGGCTCCCAGCGGGCTGCGGCTCATCACAGGCACAGCCCGGGCCCACGGCGCGGCGAAGGCGGCCCTGCAGCCCGGGAGGAGGACGCAGCGGGCCGGCTTCGGGCGCGAGAACTGGGGCCGCGGCTCCTAGGCGGGCGCGGCAGCAGCGGCGGCTGGTCCTCAGCGCCCAGGGCTGGCTCTCCCATGGCAGCGGCTCCTAGAAAGACCTGCGAGGGTAAACGGAGTAAGCTGGCGCGCCTCAAACCTCCTCCCAGCCGCCGCCGCCTAAGTAACGCCCACCCTCGGGTCTGCCTGGCTCCCCAGCTCACCTGGAGCTGCGGGCACGACCCGGAGAGGCCCCAGATCGCGGCCCGGCGGTCTGTCCAGCTGTTGTTACTCCTTCCTCGATTTCTCGCCTGCTGACTTCCACTGTGGGTCCCCGTGCCTCCGAGGGGGCCACGGAACTCGGCAGACCAAGCCTGGGGCAGAGTTTCCGGGAAGCGAGCGCCCTGCGGTTGGGAAGGGAAACTTTCACCCGGCCAGGAGCTCTGTCTGCTCCGCTCTCCGCTGAGCCCAGTGCGCCCGGCTCCTGCTGCGTATCCCCCCTCCTTCTCCCGACCGCAGCTTCCTTCCTCGATCCGGGGGCCGATGCCCACCGGGGGAGGCGAGGGGGAGGGGGCTTAAACGAGACCCAGCTCCCGGCAAAGCGGCTCCGCCTCTCTCGCTCTGGGCCTCCGCGCCGGGACTCTCTCCATCTCTCCGGCGGCGGTGGATGGGGCGCACCGCGACCCTGCAGCGGCGGCGGCGGCGGCAGCTGCTTCTTCCATCACCAGGCGGATGCTCGGACGGGCATTACCGGCAGCCCCCGCCGCTCCTCAGCCTCCCACTGGCTCGGAAGGACCCTACACACACAGCTCTCGGCTAAGGAGCCCGGTCCGCAGCATTCCCTTACCCACCCCGATCCTGGCACCCGCCGCTTCAGGCAAACGAGGTATCAGGGCAGAGGAAACCCCACCGCCGCGTGAAAGCGGCGCCCGGGAGGATGCTGCTACCACATTCCCCTACGCCGAGCGGCTGCAACGCGCTCCGACCAGCCTCTGCGCGGCTCCTGCCAGGCGGCGCCGGGTTGGTGCGCGCCGCCGTCTGTCGCCGGGGCTCCTCCCCTCCGCCGCGCTGCCCTCCTCCGCCGCGCGGCCCGCGCCCGCGCCCGCCCCTCCCCCTTGCCCCTCCGGCTCCCGCCGCCGCCTGCTTGAGGGCTGGAGGAGTGGGCCCGGATTCTGCGGCGCCGCCTGGGTCGCCATCCGCGCGGCGGAGGCCGTAACAATGCGGGCGCGGGGTTCCCGGGCGCGGGGTTCGGGCACCCGCCCGCCCGAGCTCCGGGTAATTTGCCTCCTGCTCGACGCTGCCGGGCTCGGAGCACATTGTCGCTCTCTCGGAAGGAGTAGGTGATAAAGTTTGTTCAAAAATCCCCAGCGGCCGCCTCTCTAGAGGTAGGAGCCGCCCGACCCCTCCGGAAGCCGGGGAGGCACCCGCGGGGAGGACGCGCGCCGCTCGCAGGCTTCCTCCCCCCGGCCCGCGGGTCCCAGCTGCCTGAGGTCTCCCGCACCGAGGAAGTAATAAATCCTTCCGACCCCGGGGTCAAGGAAGACGTTTTCCAGGGCCTGTGCCGGCGGTGTCTTCTCCAGGCTTCCTCCATCTGTGGATAGGGCCTGTTCGGGCTCCCTGCGCCCAGCAGATGCTCTCCCCGTCTTGGCTCGGAGTGCTGCGACCGCTGGCGCTGAAGTCCTCGTGAATGGGGTGCGGGGAGGTGACCTTTTGTTTTAATTGACAGTGAAATACTTGCCTTACTTCTTGGTCTCAGAGATGAGATCAAACGATACGACCCTAAAGGAAACACCGTGTGTGAAGTCGATTATTTTTGAGTTGGTTTAATACTTTCTTTAAAAATAACGAGGAAAAGCTTCTCTCTCTCTCTCTCTCTCTCTCACACACACACACACACACACACACACACACACACACACCCGAAGAAGACTAAGCCATACCCCAATTTCATCCGTAAAATGGGACAATTGTAATATCCTCCAGTAACTGAAGGTGATGAGTGTTAGATGCCCCAGATGATTAAACCCCGCTGAGACTGGGCAGAAACGGGGGAGTCCTGAAGCTCAGGGCCGGGTAAATGCTGCAGATCTGGAGGCGATGTGTTTGCCTCCGGTTCCAAGGAGTTTTAGAAGTTTGACAAAGTTAATGCAGATTTACTTTTATATATTTTGGACAGCCTCTCTCAGCCAGAGGACAAAATGTTGCTGTTTGGACCATTATTCTTCCGTTCATCTTATAGAATCTTCTAAGTGCAAGGACTCTGGAAAGTGACAACTCATGTAGGATTTCCAGGGTTAAAAAAAAAAAAAATTCAAAGAATTTGACTTAATCCCGTTTTCCAGAAAAATCCATAATGCCACGAGCAGAGTTCATATAATCCCTCACCCCCGACCCCGAGCTCCTGATAAAGTGAATGGATGGGGGCGTTTCTATGACAGACTTTATGCTAACAGAGGGAGAGAGTAGGACTGGAATTGTATATGCAGCTTTCTCAAGTAGCCCAGGATTACCTCTGGGAGGTGGTCGGGACAGACAGACGTTTTTGTTTTTGTTTTGGTACGGTGCCCCTAACAGGAACCGAACCGGGGACTCCCTGGTCCCCAGGCCGACGCTCCAACCGCTGAGCCAAACCGTCCAGGGCCAGAGAAACGTTTTTAATTCCTGTTTACAGATGGTGGTAGAGTTTAACTGAGTGACTTCCCAGCTCTTCATTTCTGGACACACCTGCCTCCCTTCACATGCTGTCTCAAATGTACCTGTCTCTTCTTCCCTCTACCCTTTCCCCACAGAAACTAAATTATTTTAGCACATTAAAAGACTGATGAAAGAGAGGGAATTGGGAAGAACATCTCAATCTTCATCTTCAGTATGATTCCAAGAAAAATTATTTCTAATACTTCTTGAATAGACAACATGAATTGCAGTTGTCTGTTGTAAAGATCCTTTTTAAACAATTGTTTGCATAGAAACAACTTGGTGGCAATTTTGTAATACTGTCTTACAGTTGGCAAATAGTAAATCCATTTGCCAGACGCCCCCACAATGCGTGCTCAGCTGGCATAGATTTACAGGTTCCTGCATCTCCACCCTCTCCTTGCTAGCAAACTTTGTACCATTTTTGTTTAGAAATTCCTTTCCTTTTAATCCACTTATGCTGCTTTTAGCATAGTAATGACCCAGGCATGTGTAAATTACACAATAATTGCATTGGCGGAGGAGCCTCGGGCCACAGGGCTGTCTTTAATTTCCCGATGCCCCTTCAGCTCTCTGTTATCTGTGATATGGCAAGGAAACTGCTATTGGAAACTTCCTGTGGCTTTTTCCTAATCCTGGCCAAATAGGGGTCCTGACATTTTGGGGTGCTACAGGCCAGGGCCCAGCCTGTGGAATACAGCAGAGAGGTCTTTCAGAACCTTCCTGGTCTGAATTGGGAGATGTAGGACTGAGTTGCCTCGGCAGTTCCCATCGAGGGTTGTCTGTATCTCTGGGGACCGCAATTTTCACCTTTGGGGAGTATCTGCCCCTGGGCACCAAGGTAATTCAGTCACTCATATTTTCAGCAAATATTGCATTTTCAATGGAAATTGAATACCCCAAATTGGATTAATCATGATCCTTGATTTAAAACACGCTGTCATTAGTCCATTGGTGGACCTTTTATATTTTATATGATTTTAAATAATATATTGAATACATCAACCCATTATAGAACACAAAAACTCCAGATGTAACCACTCTACTGATTTTGTCTTAAAATTTAAATGAAACGGTCAAGTTCCAAGAGGGGAAGAGGGACTTTCCTTTGTTATAACTCAGTGCCATTGACCCAAACTCCCAGAGGCCTTCACGACAACCAAAGGGGTTGTCAGTTTACTCATTTACTGAAGAACATTCTTCACTAACTAATTCCTAAGTAATCGCTAACCCTGGGGTAATAACTAACCCTTGAGTAATCCTGGGGTCGGCACCAGGGATAATCTATTGAAAACATCTTGACCTTTGAGATGTCTGGGAAACTGAGTAACAGGTAATTAACTAACTGCTAAATTCCGCTTCTGTAACATGCTTGCTTACACGTAGCAACCCCCTTACAAAATCCTATAAAAAGGAGCCATTTTAGCTCTCCAAGGCCGCAGTTACTCCTGTGTGGGACATACTGCAGGTGCCTGCGGACTTAGCTCAATAAACTCCTTTTGTTAAACCCCATTTCGGCGTCTGAGTTTGGTCGATCTCCTGGGTTACAACATTTGGAGGCCCCAGTGAGATCACCTCGAGGTCCCCTCTGAGAGGGGTCGACCTCCTCAGGCACAAGGCGAGGCGCCTCCATCCTCGCCTCTACAAATTTGATCTTCTGACTGCGGCCAGATTCGGCTTAGGGTCTCTGCGCCACGTGGTCTTGGTAAGTGGATCGATCCATTTGGTTCTTTGTGTCTTTGGCTCCGGAGCATTTGGCGAGGCTGTACAGGCGGGACGCCGCGCACTGTCTGCCTCTAGTCAGAGTCAGGACGCTGACTTCTGATTTTGGAAGCCTAGGTGCTTCACTTTGAAGGTGTGTGTGTTCTGTGAGGGTGTGAGACTAGTCTCAGTGATTGTTCTTGTTTGTCTTCTGATTTCGTGTTCTTGTATGTTCAGCCTCTCTTTCTGCTCTAACTGTTTCACTTTCAGGAGAGACGCCATGGGCCAAGGACCATCCAGGACACCGACCCCCCTTGAATGTCTGCTCTCTAACTTTTCCGATTTTCTCAAAAGGTCCTGTAATTATGGGAAGCCAGCAGACCCCGGCTTCCTGAGGACGCTATGTGAACTAGAGTGGCCAACCTTCGGGGTGGAAGGGCCCTCGGAGGGGAGTTTTGACCCTAACCTCCTCTTCGCCGTGCGTTCGGTTGTCTATAGGGCCCCTCACCCAGATCAACGGGTATACATAGATGTCTAGATTGACATAGTATTAGACAAGCCTCCCTATATAACAAAATGCGGAAGGGAGGAGCCCCAAAAGGGAATGAGAGCTAAGGTAGGAAACCATACCATCATGGTTGCAGCCCCAAAGGAGCGACCGCGGGGGCAACCAAGGAGAGCCAACCAGAGTCCCCTGGGAAAGCACCCAAACCCCGGTTATATCCAGTCCCCCCAGGGGATCCTGAGGAATTGCTCCTGGAAGTAATGACGCCCCCGCCCTATGCAGGAAACGCCTCGGGCGGGAAGGCGAGGGCACCCTCAGACGAGCCTCAGGCAAGAGCCCCAGGCCCGGCTGACAACGCCAGACTTTTGAGTCCCTCACATACACGGGACGGCACCCCTTATCAACCGGCCCGGGAAGCGGACACCTCAGTCCCAATGCTCCCATTACGAGAGGTGCCCGCTGCGCCCGGCTCTATGGGCCCGGCATGAATGATCTATGTCCCTTTTTCAACTAGCGATTTATATCATTGGAAACAGAGGGAGAGGATACGCGCTGAGGCAATTAAGGCTGTGGTCGGGGATGACGCTGGCCCCAAGGGCTTAGATGATGAACTGCCTCAATGACCCCCAGAATGGGATCCAAACACTGGGGAGGGGATGCAGAGGTTACGCACTTATCACCAAAACCTCCTCAGGGGTCTAAGGGGCGCTGCTAAGAAACCCACCAATTTAGCAAAAGTAGCAGCCACTATGCAAGGGAAGGACGAATCTCCCACGGCCTTTTTAGAAAGATTATTAGAGGCCTACAGAACTTATACCCCCTTAGACCCGGATGCAGATGGGAATAGACGGATGGTCAACATGGCCTTCGTCTCACAGTCAACCCCAGACATCAGAAAGAAACTGCAGAAATTAGAAGGCTTTGAGGGAAAGAATAGAAGTGAGCTACTTGAAATAGTTCAGAAAGTTTTTCAGAACCGGGAGGATCCCATTAAGGAGCAAACTAGGCAACTGTCTCGAATCTTGCTGGCAACCCCTAACAAGGGACCACTAGCCACCTATAAGGGGAATAAAGAACCATCTAAAGATAG